ATATGTGTGTGTGTGTGTGTATATATATATATATATATATATATATATATATATAAGATATTTACTGGCAGGATGTAACTAAAAAAAAAACAGGAGACATTTGAGAACAGACATGCATAATTAATGATGAATGAAGTTTAAGAATAGATGCATAATTCATGAAGCTTTTCCTGTCTAAGTGAAAAGTGCAAAATAAAAATCTACACCAAAAGCACAAATTACTAAATCTTGGTCAAATTAAAATGGAAATTACAAATATAAAATTGTATAACTAATTCAAAATATGAATAAAAACTATAATAGCATAATATTTATGATACTAGAACAACACTTAATATGCGATTTATTAATCACACAGACCTAGAAAATTCATGGAAATTCCGATTTATAAATTATTTAAAAATAGATGCAGAATTTATTTAAGCTTTTAAGTGAAAGTGAGCCAGAAAAAAAAAATCTAGACCAAAACACAACAAAATTACAAAAACTTAAACTAAAATTAAAATGGAAAATATAAAAAACTATAATAGTATATTAATGATACTAAAATAGCAGTTAATCACACAGGCCTAGAAGGTCATGAAAATTCCTATAGTTTATATAAAATATTTAAGAATAGATGAATAAAAAATCTAGATGTGAATGCACTGCAAAACAAAACTATATGCTAATTTTCCTTTGGGTACGTATCCATAATATCTACTCTTAATACATACAAATAAAGAAGAAATGCATGTTTATATACCTTCTGAGTGTCAGACTCTGGGCCAGGTTTTGTGTGTGTCTTTGCTCCCTATGAGCTCCGTCTTCCGTTTTGTTCCCTAGTCCGCCATGTCCTCCTGTGGTCCCTCTTCCGCCTTGGCGCCCAGAGCTGACAGATCCATGGTGCCCCGCTCTGGAGGCCTCCCGTCTGGTAACCCTACTCTTAGAGGTCTCCAGAGCGCCCACCCCCCCTCCCCATTGGATGTTTTGGTGGCGTGAGGACACGCCTTCTGGGAGGGGGGAGTAATGTCAGACTCTGGGCCAGGTTTTGTGTGTGTCTTTGCTCCCTATGTGCTCCGTCTTCCAGTTTCTCTGTCTCGTGTTTTGAATTCTTTGTTCCCAGGTGTTTCCTATGTTGATTGTCTTATTAGTTCCAGGTGTCCCTTGTCTTCCCCTCATCAGTTCCTGTGTATTTAAAGTGTGTTCTAGTTCTTGTCCTTTGTCAGTCGTTGAACGTCATCCTGATGTGTCGAGTCCTGTGATCCCCAGCCTTTGTTAATAAAACCCTTTTGATTTATTCTACTCCGTGTCTCCTCGCTCCTTCGTTCCCGTGTTCCTCGTGTGTGTGCACCGTGACACTGAGTGGCAAAAATAATAAAGTCAAACATGTTCAACATTTGCATGCTGACTATAAATATTCCGCAGTAAAATCAAGCCAAAATAAACAGGGCTTTGATTTTACCCTCTTTTCATCTCATTATGAAAATTAATAATCAGTGTAAAGTGCACAGGTTGGTACAAAACCGTTTAATTCTGTTACAGTCCCATGATGCATTGTGTTTGGGAGGTTTGTTCTGCACCAGTGGCTGTTTGGAATGGATCTCTGTGTGGATCTGGACCTTTTCTTTTTTATACAATTTGGTTTTATAATCTAAAAAATACATATTTTTAGATATTCTGCAACAGTTTATGCAAATGGAAACTATCAATGAGAGTGACAGTGGAGATCACATGACCACTGAGTTACATAGACAAGACGGAAGTTCAAGTGATTTTACTGATTTATGAGACCTGTCTCCACCCACATACTGTACAGCATAATAAAAAATAATAACATAATAAAAAAATAATAATGACTGGAAACCATGTCAAATTATCCGTTTGATTGATGGAATTTATCAACTTATGCATGTTACCCTTTTTATAGACTATGATGGCGTATTTCCACAGTTATTAACATCATAAAACTAGCAAAGTTAATCTAAAATGTTAATATTTTGTAAAAAGCACTATACTTTGTGTTTTATTACCTTGCCAATAACTTAAAACTAGTTTCTGCATGAGTGTTTCTAATACAACAGCTAAGGGAGTGATGGCAATTAAACATCTTTCTCACTTCTCAACATAATCAATCTCTCAATATTTTTTTCCTCTTTTAGAGGAGATTTTTTCTTTTGCTGTTGGGGCAAATGGGATTTTCTGTTCACCACTGCAGAAGTTTACCCAGCTATGACGACTTCCGCTACTGAGGTTTCTTGAAATGTCTTAAATGTAGGCAAAAACATGCTAGACCAGCTCTAAACCAGTCTGGAAGAGAATCCATGCTGGTCTAAGCTGGTATTGTCCACCTAACTCAGAGCTGTTCCTTCTTTTTCATCGCAGCACCCAACAGATCCCCCTCAGCCAATGAGATGCCAGAGTCGTTGGCAGAGATATGCTGATTGGCTTTCTGCTGAGTCGCCGTGGGGCTTGGGCTGACGGGATTGGCTGTGCTTGCAGTGGTGCTTCTACTGATTGGTAAGGTGTTGTTTGCCGCATCGTTGCACAGGTTAATGTTGCTGTTTGACGTCACGGCCACATTCACACTTCCTGAACTGGCGGTGTTGATCTGAGTTTGCGGCCAAAATGGAGGGGTGAAAGAAAGCACCCTCTCTGGTGTAAATGTTGATTGGGCTGTGTCCAGGTGCTATGGCAACCCTTGACTAAGGCATACTTTAGATAACAGTTTGGGTACAGGGTCCAGAGAGGAGAAAGCAGGACCCGAATGTTCAGTATCTTCACTCACCCAAGGCAAAGATAAACATATCTAAACCATTTAGACCAGCTCTAAACCAGTCTGGAAGAGAATCCATGCTGGTCTAGGCTGGTATTTTCCATCCAACTCAGAGCTGTTCCTTCATTTTCACCGCAGCACCCAACAGATCCCCCTCAGCCAATGAGATGCCAGAGTCGTTGGCAGAGTTGTGCTGATTGGCTGTCTGCTGAGTCGCTGTGGGGCTTGGGCTGACGGGATTGGCTGTGCTTGCAGTGGTGCTTCTGCTGATTGGCCAGGGGTTGTTTGTCATGCCGTTGCATAGGTTGTTGTTGCTGTTTGAAGTAGCAGCTGCGTTCACACTCCCTGAACTGGCGGTATTGATTTGAGCTTGCGACCAAGTTGGAGGAGTGAAAGAAAACACCCTTTCGGGTGTAGACAGAGATGGGGATGTCTCCAAAGAGAGTCGCAGAGGCAGGGGGCGGCGCGACGGCAACCCTTGACTCGGCCGTACTTTGGGTAACAGCTCGGGCACAGGGTCTGGAAAGGAGAAAGCGGGACCCGAATGTTCGCTGTCTTCACCCACCCAAGGGAGGGCGGAGGAAGGAGGCGCGGGCATGTCAGGCGGAGCCAGGACTTGCGAGCCCATCAACGGATGTGCCAGGGAGCTGGAACTGTCGCCGTGCGCTCTTCGTGGTCTTGGGCGAGGAATGGACGGAGGGATGCAGTGGATGGGCGTCTGAGGGCAACTGTAGAAACCGGGTCTTTCGTATAGAGGCATGGATGAGAATGCATCCTCCATGTCAGCGTTCCAGGCGTGGCTGGGCATCGGAGAGCTCTCGGGATGGAGGTAAAGGGGGAAGCGAGAGAAGGGGGCATGGGGACGTCGCCACAGGAGGGAGACTCGGGATGTGGGTGTAGAGCGGGGGAAATTGGGCGACTGGACGCCCAGAATGCGACTCAAGCTGCCTAGAAATGGAGTGGAATGATTGGCTTCCTCGTGTTCTTTAATCTGCTCCAGATTGTGCTGGAATTCCATTTCCTCTTTGGGAACGCTGAGAGAAAGAGAGAGAACGGTGACCTTGATTATGTTAGACAAAATGTGCTTTTAAATCTTAAAAAAATATTGCCTGGCTCATTTTTACTGATCTATGCAACTTGGTTAAAGGTCACCATGAAATAAAAATTTACTTTTTTGACAGTTCTATTTCTATTAAAGTGGTCATATGATGCGATTTCAAGTTTTCCTTTCTCTGTGGAGTGTTACAAGCTGTTCGTGAATAGATAAGATCCCTAAAGTTGCAAAGACTAAAGTCTCAAACCCAAAGAGATCTTTATAAAAGTCCACACCCTCCTAAAACGCCTCGTTCTAACACGCCCCCACATGTCTACGTCACTGTGGGAAGATTTGCATAACACTGCCCAAATGTTCACACAAAGAAAGAAGGCGTAACATTGATTCTCGCTGTAGTATTGTTGCTGCTGCCGCCATGTTGTGGAGACGCTGTGTTTCTTTGCGAAAGTGAACATACTTTGTTTGGCCTTCCAAAAGAGGACACAACTAGAAATCAGTGGTTAAGTTGTATTTACAACACTGTTCCAGAACAGTTCAGAACAAATATTCGTGTGTGTGCAACGCATTTTATGGAGGACTGTTTCCTGGGAGAGTAGACTACAATGCCGGCTGTTCTGACTCACAGACTGTAAGTACGTTTTCATATTTAAAGAATTTGCCACTGACGATTCAAACGCGAGTTTTGAGCAGTGTAGAGTAGCGCTTGTAGTTTGTAATTTCTCCGATCACAAATGCAGACATGGTTTTATGTTTACGCAGCGCGATGCAACGCAATGGGTAAAAAGACAGTATAAGTCATTATAATCCGTAATTATGTCCCCACTGGATGCAACAAATGCCTCGTTTATAATGGGTTTTAATGTTTTTGTCTTGTCGCGCCGGGACACGGCATCACAGTATGGTAGGGGCGTAACATTTCCGTCACACGCTTGAGGCATTCGGCCAATCACAACGCACTGGATAGCTGGCCAATCACAGCACACCTCACTTTTCAGACCGATGAGCTTTGTAAAAATCGACGCATTTCAGAAAGGCGGGGCATAGAGGAGAAACAATAATGTACAGTATGTGGAAAATAATGTTTTTTGAACCTTAAACCACATAAACACATTTAATTACACCAAATACACAAAATAATGTTCTTTTTTTAGCAACGTCATATGACCCCTTTAAACCTAGCCAAAAAGCCATATGTGTTGATTGTAAAACACAGTAGACTTTAATAACATGCATTACATACAGCATAAATCCGTAATATTATCCCACCCCAACATATAATAATAATTTAAGGCAAGCCACTACATGCAAACCATTGTTTTTTCACTGGTCAATTTTGTTATTTTAGGCTATTTTGCTTTCATGACATGTCTAGTGTAAAGAAAACATCCAAAATACGCATCCATGTTTTTGATTATTTTATTACACTTTACCAATTTTACATCTGTAGATTTTCATTATAATACATATCTTTAAAGGCAGTTTTCTCAAAATGAGTTTTTCTCCAATTCAGCGGCATTTATGTACACCAAACGGTTTTATTCCAATATATATTCTGAAGGTTTTTACAGAGAGGTTTGTTCATATATCATTCATCTGATTTATATAACATACAATTTATGTATACAATTTATAATATAAAATTCCTCAAAACACTCGAAAATGTTTACCGTCTTCCGCCATTATGGAGAGTACCACGACGCATTCGTGTGCATTCCTTCCTCTGCACGTAAACAACAGCAGCAGCACGTCAGCAGCACCACGCGCATATGTTGTTTACATGCAGAGGAACATACACGCATGTGTCGTGGTACTCTCCATAATGGGGGAAGACGGTAACTCGGGGAGAAGAATTGTTGAATAAAGTTGTTATTTTTGCTTTCTTTGCACACAAAAAGTATTCTCGTAGCTTCGTAAAATTAAGCTTGAACCACTGATGTCACATGGACTGTTTTAACGATGTCCTTACTACGTTTCTGGGCCTGGGAACAATTCAGTTGCATTGCTGTCTATGCAGGGTCAGAGAGCTCTCGGATTTCATTAAAAAATATCTTAATTTGTGTTCCGTAGCTGAACAAAGATCTTACAGGTTTGGAACGACATGAGGGTGAGTAATTAATTACAGAATTTTCATTTTTTCGGTGAACTATCCCTTTAACTAGATGATGCCTCATTTGCATATTTAAACATAACATTTTAGAAACCGTGTAATACAAATAAATTGTCGTAATGTACTAATCAGTCAGTGAGTTTTTTACCCTAATCACATGTGCTGCCTTAAATAAGAAAAATAAATAAATTACTTGACATAAGAAAATCACTTAAATTACAATTACTGTTATCAGTATCTGGTATTGTTTTAAAAAACCCAGATCATCATTATTTAACCTTCAATTATTTAACCTTTATTTACTTGTTAACACATTATATATAGAGGGGGTTTATATTTCCAGCTGAATATCCTGTTTCACTTAGAAATGTCACATTACAGAAGTAAAAAAAAAAAAAAAAGAGTTGTTTTTCATGCCACTTTTAGTGGCTATAGAATCAAGAGAATCTACAAAAGATTTTTTAATAAAAATCTGAAGCATGTTTTGACTGAATTTTGTTTGTGCACCCAAAATGTGCATGCATGTGTGTGCTGTAGTTGTACATCGGTGGGTTTAAGTAAGTGTGTGTGTGTGTGTGTGTGTGTGTGTGTGTGTGTGTGTGACCTGATGTCCAAAGCAGATCCCATAAATGAGGGTTTGTGGTGTTCGGCGCTGGCAGCTGTGTAAGGCGGCTGAGGTTCAGATTCATCCCAGTATTTATCTCTCTCAACCAGAGGAACCAGATCATACATCTCATCCACTGACAGCAGAGACACCTGGGGGAAAGACACATCTATTTATGTTTGTATAAGCACAGGTGCTTACAAAAAGGAGAAATATTAATGTTTAACACCTTAGCAATGCTGCAATGTTGGCTCATGTGACACAAAACTAAAGATTTGATGCAGGTATAAAAAAGTGCACTAAAAATACTCCATTATATCATAATAATATATTGTATTATTAGATATTTTCAGGTGCAAAATAAAGTAATATTGTATAACAAATAGTCTTGCATGAGTATTTCTACAATGGCATCAGTAACTGAAAACTGCAATGCTGTAATTCTGCCAACAGATGTCTATAGAAAGTCATATTGGCCCATGATGCATAATCAAATAAATTATTTAGCGCGCCTTATAATACACAGACACAAGTGGGGAGATTTTACCAGAGAGACTGTACAACCAGAAACACAAATCCACAGAGCAAGACAAGACAGAATGACACAAAGGAGATCAAGAAACATGTCATTAGTGGGACAGATGATGTACCTGTAAATTACGGTCCACCAGCCAGTTCGTCTCAAAGTCATCGTCATCCTCCCCAAATGGATTAATGAGCTGCTCTGCCACCTGAAAACACACCAATGCAATTATTTTCTGACTTTTTGTTAAAGATGATTTAGCTACATTACATCAGTGTGATGCAACCATTATTAAAGCGGTGTTTCACTAAATTTGTATGTATAACCAAGTTTTGTGTATGTCATGTCAGCTGCATTGAACTCCATATAATTAGGCAATGTTTATTTAGAGCTAAACAGTAATTTTATTAGATAAAACCAGTTATTAGGGACGGTGAGTGTGGAGTGGAGCCATAACTAATGCGATACTTCACTAATAAGATAACACGCCTTGAGCCAGCCCACATAGAAGAAGAACTGCAGTAAGGTGAAGACGGGCAGGTAGAAGTCCAGGTTGTGACCCGGGTAACCCTGGGCGGGGTCGAGGAACTGCCGACCAATCAGACAAGCCAAAAAGAAACTGTACACAGCCACGGTTACAACCTATGAGAGAGCACAGGACATTTACAAATTGTTTAAAGGAACACTCCACTATTTTTGAAAATAGGCTCATTTTCCAACTCCCCTAGAGTTAAACAGTTGAGTTTTACCGTTTTCTAATCCATTCAGCCGATCTCCGGGTCTGGCGGTAGCACTTTTAGCTGTAGCTTAGCATAGATCATTGAATCTGATTAGACCGTTAGCATCTCGCTCAAAAATGACCAAAGAGTTTAGATATTTTTCTTATTTAAAACTTGACTCTTCTGTAGTTACATCGTGTACTAAGACCGACGGAAAATGAAAAGTTGCGATTTTCTAGGCCAATATGGCTAGGAACTATACTCTCATTCCGGCGAAATAATCAAGGATCTTTGCTGCCGTACCATGGGTGCAGCAGGCGCAATGATATTATGCAGCACCTGAAAATAGGCTAACTTCCGTCAACATAACCAACGTGACCACCTGCATGCACAGGGAGCGTACTGGGGACTATTTTCAGGCGCTGCGTAAGCTAAGCGTATGCTAAGCTACAGCTAAAAGTGCTACCGCCAGACCCAGAGATCGGCTGAATGGATTAGAAAACGGTAAAACTCAACTGTTTAACTCTAGGGGAGTTGGAAAATGAGCCTATTTTCAAAAATAGTGGAGTGTTCCTTTAAAAGCATGGCAAAATTCATAATCTATTCATCATCTACACCAATCATTTCAACCATTCAGTGTGCACAAATGTTCACGCCAATCAATTAGAGATCATCGCTGCACATTCCAACCAATCAGAGATCACTATTAGCCATTCCAACCAATTAGAGATCATTTAAAGATTATTTCCCATTCCATCCAGGGATTAGTCATATATATACTAAATGAATCAATATTGATTGGTCAAACAAATTTGGTCAGTTCAGCTCCATTTCATTTCAGATTTTGCTTGGATCTATACAGGGAACTCTGAAATGTTATGAGTGGTCCGTAGTCTGGCTAGTTCTGTTGTCTTTGTTATTAGTACTAGTAAATGAAGCTAGATGAGTTTCAACCATCAAACCTGTGTGTAAACGAGAGGTAAGCTGATCCAGTCATAGCCATAAAGCCTCATACACTGAGAGCGCAGTGTGTTCAACTCCTACCAGGAGAAAACCCAGAGAAAAAAACTATTGCTCAGAGGGAGAATTATGGAGTTCTTAGTTAAATATCATCTGAATAACTTTGCTTCAGGGCCAGATGTTACTACTGAAATTCCATGATTCCATTACTACTGAAAACTACATGATGTTGGAAACGTGAAAAAAAAGACTTGTGAAACGGTTCCGTCAAAAACATTCACTCGCTCGTAAATTAGTGGTTTAAATCAAAATCAATTTAGTCAGTGAATCGTTCAGTCGTTAGTTCACTGACTCCCTCACTGAACCAGGGGTCAGTTGTTCAAAAAGTTTAATCTGGATCAGAATGATCTGGATTTGGAAATCCCATGTTTTGCTATCCAGAATCAGGTAACCCATCTTACTTTTGTGTCGGTTTTTCAAAGCAAAATTGGATTGGATCACCCTGAACCAGATACACACTTTTTCAGATTTCCAAATCTGGTTAGTGCTCTATGGAGCCCCTAAAGGGACATGGTGATGGAAAAAAAAAACAGAAGATGGGAAAAAAAATGTTTTGCATTCTAGTTTTGCATTGCATTTACACAAATAACTAACTACTTCTGACTGGTCCATCTCTGATAATTGTGCCAAAGTAGTTCCCTTTCGAAAGGGAACTCCACGCTGCGTCCTCTAGAGGGCGCTAGGGGAACACCTTCAGCGTGACCGGTGTCTGAAGCATGAATGAAAAAACGACAATGAACTTGACATTGGCAGGCGGCAGCCTATGACGTAAACAATAAAGTGACTGCGGGTATGAAAGAGCACCTGCGGAATACGTCATCCTCTTCTTTGTCTTCAGAGCCTTGTGTACAGAATAGTGTTAATTTTGTCAGCTATTTTCATTTTAGTCTTAGTCCCGGGCTAAAATGTTCTTGTTGGTTTTGATTATATTTAGTCAACCTTATCCTATTTAGTTTTTGTGAAGTTTTAGTCGACTAAAAGTCTCAACATTTTAGTCTAGTTTTAGTAGAAGAAAACCTGAGGTATTTTAGTCTAGTTTTAGTCAATGAAAACTTGACATTTTAGCAATAAGATTATTATTAATTAACCGTACAGCAGTATTAATTTTGACAGCCATTTTTAATTTAGTCTTAGTCTTACTCAAATGTACATTTTAGTTATCATATTCGTCATGCTGAGATCTCCACTCTTAGGAGCTTCTCAACTAGGGCTGAGTGTTGTTAGGCTTCCTCTCATTTAAAAGAATCATCCTGCTGAAGCCTCCGCTCTTCAGAGCTCCGTCTTTGGCAGTTCCTCTCGTTTAAGAGAGTCATCTTGCTGAAGCCTCCGCTCCCCAGAGCTCTGCTTAGGCAGTAATATGAGTTGTAGGCTCTTTCTTTTTGAGCCTCACTAACTGCCTCTGGCATTTAGTGTAGCTAGGTCTCCTCTCGCTTTAGAGAGTCGTTATGCTGAG